GCTTGATGATTTACGACTGCATGTCGTAAAAGGCAGCGGGTTTCATGAGCAAAACATATGGTAGGATGGACGGACTGCTCTCGCTGAGTATACTGCAGGACGATCTCAATAGTACGATTGAGCTTTACCAGCTTACACCCTCGGAAACTATCTTCCAGCACGACAACGACCCGAAGCACAAGTCGCGTATCGTACATGAGTGGCTTAGAAAGCAAGATTTTGGGGTGCTAGAGTGGCCGTCTTCCTCACCCAACCTCAACCCAATGAAGCATTTATGGGCTCATCTCAAGAGGTAGCTGGCCAAGCCTTATAAGCCTCCCACTGGTATGTTGGACCTTTGGGAGCGGGTGCAGGAGGAATGGGAGAAGATCCCGGCGTATGTGTGCACCCACCTGGTGGAAAGCATGCCCAGGAGGGTGAGGGCAGTGATTAAGGCAAAAGGGCGGTAGATTAGGTACTAGTTTGGGGTTGATGTAACTTGCTGCTTGCGCCTAGCAATAATTGTCCACATGTACCAAGATTGTTATTTTCTGGTATTTGTTGTAAAGATCATTATACTTGTGTGATGTAAGGCATGGGCGTAGAGCCTTACTCCAACCTACATACACTAGGCACACCAGAAGATTAAGGCTTAATGTCCATGACCCCCTAAAATGGCAAAATTCCTCTAAGTCACAAACATGTGGACAATACTTTCTGTCAGTGTACATAAAATTTGGCAGCAGCACTGTTGGAGCTGTGTTGGGGCCAACTCGCAAGCAGTGTTTGACTTTTGAAGATTTCTTGAGTTCGTATGGGAGTCTTCTAGGGCAGTAATTGCAGAAGTTCATGACCTTGAAGCGGTTTACCCTAACGCTTATATTTACTTGGAGCGGATTTTGGAGTTCATCGTTGGGGTTCTTCAAGGGCATCTTCACACATGAGTATGAGAATGTTACGCACCAGTGTGGGATTATTTCGACTACCATAGAGCATTGAGTTTCCTGGAGTTTTTTACCTGGGAAGCTGGGAGCTGTTTCTTCTAGGAGGGGGGGGGGAGAAGTGCAGTTGTGCTGCAATTTTTCGTCTGACCCTTCCGGCGTGTTCCATCATCCATGTTCAAGCAACATTCGTCATCGTTATGCTTCCGCGCCTGAGTTCGTCACTTCGTTGATGGAGTTCGCTGACTTGCGTGGGACACGGACGCGTGCTCTCGCATGTGAATCGAACGACCTCACGTTTGATGAATGGGTTCTTCACTTCATCGTCCACGTTATTCGACAGTCTCGTTATCACGGAAGATATCCATCTCCACGCGCTATCATCAATCGGCCACTCGACAATTTTCACCGTTCACATGCTTCCGATCGAGTATTTACCCTTGCCCGTTCGGTCAGCTGAAGAAGTCGACAATCTTCAACGAATCCAATCGATTACGATCGGTGCGACATATCTCAGCCGTTGGATGGAGTTTTACCTCATGAAGTCTCGTCATCGTTGCGCCCATCAAGGTTCAACGATCAGGATCTACCACGATCGTTTCGACGCTTTCTGGTCATCGATTTCAAATCGACATTAAGACCTCTCAGGCCGGCGTAATAATTACGCTCGTCACAGGGCTGAAGACTTATAGTCACATCGTGGGTTACTTGTAATGACTGTTTGACCTCGATAAAGGGAGTGCCTTCCTTTAGAAGGTAGGAGAGTATAAGGAACTACGATTCCTTACTGGGGCTCGCCACAGCGAGTACACGCGAACAGTTCGCTTCTGCAGGCTCGGCCTTCAAGTCACGCTCCAAACCAGCCTCCGTCGACCTTGTCGGACCCAACCTCATCCCGAGTCGCCCCGAACCCATTTTGACCCCGTCACCCTTAGAACTATCGAGCCCTTGACTTGTCCAACCTTCGACATTCAACCCTGGTTAATCGCCCTATATATTGCCTAGGCCTAGTTTCTATCATAACTATGTAATCACGTTCCCCTTATTGAATACTGCGCTACACTCTGGGTTATAATTCATAACAGTAATTGAAATCAGCTTGTATCGGTTCCTATAACTCCACTAGCTCCTAATACCATGTAGAAGTGAACCACGTGTTTAGGGTAGCCAGGATCTAGATTTGGTGGAACCACGAGTAAAAGTCAGCGTAAGGCTATACACCTTGTATTGGATATGTCTAAAATGACAAGGATAATAATAATGAGTAATATAAGCATATTTATAGTCTAGGAAGTACCTATTCTGATGTACCTGTTCGTTGTGTATCACCACTATTCGCGTGACATGACTAGTGACTGTTCGTGGGACTGAGAGTGGCGTGACCCTTGGGGTGACTATACGCGCGTATCAACTGTTCACGTGTTGACTCGCTAGTGCTGACGTCATCACGCGCTTCCTTCCGTATGAGGTATCTCGCTACTAGTTAAGTCTAAGTGTTACACCAGGAATGCAGAAGTAAACTCTGTCGAGTATACTTGAAGAATACAAACATACAGGATGCCATAAATCTTAGAGTGGTTGGTTTTCGAAATATAGGTTGTTTATGTTGTCTTGTTTACGATTTTTATTTTCTAAGAACGTACACCAGACGTACTTCTGCGTTCTGCGCTCCCTCATTGTAAGCCGTTGTGAATGCATCGGGATCAAGGGTACAAGGCTTCACCTGCTGCAGAAGGCTCCCGCTTGACGGATGCCGTCTGCGCCACGAGGTGGAGGGAATCTGCTTGGATCCATGGAGGGAAGCCATGGAATGGCGTGTGGTTTAGCTAGGAGAAAGTTGACAGAAAAGAATGTGAGACTAGGAAGAGAGAGGCATACAAGGAGGGAGTTGTACCCTTTACAGTACAGTTCGGTAACCTACCAAGCCTACCAATTATATAACACAATATATAATTCAACACACCCCCTAGGCTTGGTAGTCACAAGCCCACCCAACACACACACCCCCTAACCCCTTACACCCCCATGCTCGAGATCAGCCGGGTATCTACCCCTCGGGCTTGGCATGGTGATATCCGCCGGCGAGAGGCAGCGCGGGCAACGACCATGGCTGAAGGCTCTCGGCGTTGTGGCACGGCGAGGCGACGACCGGGTAGAAGACAGCAGCTGCAGCAGGAGGAAGAGGATACGCAGGGGAATGGGGGGGGCGAGGGGGGCGAATCTTCAGCGACGCGCCATGGGTGGCGCGGCGCTTACTGGCGGGAGAGGGCGAATCTTCAGCGAGGCACCATGGCTGGCGCGACGCTTACTGGCGTGAGGGCGTTACGACTGGCGCATAGGACAGGGCGCTGGCCGCAGCTGTCCGTGCGCCCGCGTGGCTAAGCCGCCACGACGGCACGGCGGCGCGGCAGCATGGCGACCCAGCGGCGCGGCGGCGTGGCGGCACTATGGCACGGCGGCGTGACGGGGCCGGCGCAGAGTGACGGGTCCGGCGCGGAGTGACGGGGCCGGCGCGGAGTGACGGGGCCAGCGCAGGGTGACGGGGCCAGCGCGGCGTGACGGGGCCAGCGCGGAGGGACAGGGCCGGCGCGGAGTGACAGGGCCGGCGCGGCGTGACGGGGTCAGCGCGGAGTGACGGGGCCAGCGCGGAGTGACGGGGCCAGCGCGGCATGACGGGGCCAGCGCGGCGTGACGGGGGGTGGAGTACGCTGCGGAAGCGTGAGGAGAAGGCCCGAGCTAAAGGGGCCTGCTTTGAAACCATGTTAAACTAAGCTAGGTAAGAGGGAAGCCATGGAATGGCGTGAGGTTTAGCTAGGAGAAAGTTGAGGAGAGAAAAGATAGTGAGACTAGTAAGAGAGAGGCATACACGGAAGGAGTTGTACCCTCTACAGTAGAGTTCGGTAACCTGCCAATCTTACCAATAATATAACACAATATATAATTTAACACCACCGACTCCGGACCAAAGCTTGGGGCCGCGTTTTTGTTCCGGTAGATTGCCGCTCCAGGGAAAATTGCTGCCGCGGACTGTCCACGAAACTTTTCATACTTTCGTGGACAGGCCCTACTTTCATGGACACCACATCGAAGTTTTGCTTCTCCCGTGGACGCCGTCAATACTTTCGTGGACTCCAGGCTTACTTCCATGGACATTCGCATATTCGCAGTTAAAATGGAGTATACATATACAAGTGATTATGGGAACAAAAATCGAAATACTCCATACTATCTGTCCGTCGCAAGTAATCGCGAGCTCCAGTGTCGGAAACCAGTTCTGAAACATAATATCGGAGCATTTATAGGAAGAGTTTGCAGCCGCACTCAAATATGCAGTGAAGTTTTAAAAACATAATGTATTAGGGTCCGCGTGATAGAAAAACTTATTATTTAAATCAGAGCTACTCAAGAAAAACATAATATGCACGTGCTTGACGAGCCAATATCAATCAGCAGTTGTTTTCTCCTTCATAATACATTATTTCATTAGTACAGCCACGTTTACCAGCCGTTATTGGTATTAAGAGATTTCACATCTTCATTGAAAATGCAAGCCAAATACTAGTTGAAATATTTGGAAATGCCAGAATTTATGGTATTCCCGATTCTTGGTGGGAAGAAATTCCAAACTGTTATCTTGGGACTACTATGATTTTTACAAAGCTCTATTGACCTTGTAACCATAATATCTATCTTTATTCTACAACGTGAATCTTTTGTAGCGAGATTTTGCCTACTCGATCTGCTATACTTGTCGCTCAGCTAAAACTGCTTCGTCACAGTCATTCAAATGAATTTTGAGGATCGCTTCAGAGTTTCTTTAAAGCCTATGTCCCAAGTTACAAGGCGCGAGGTTTTTTGTTAACAATTTCAGAAGGGGTCTGAGTGGTTACCCTGTGCAATTCGAGAACAGCGAACAAGTGGGAGGGGGTGATGGAGAAGGGAGGCGTGTGATTGGACGATGGGGAAAATCGTGTTTCGCTAACCCAGCACAAACTCCAACCAAGGGAAGAAACCTCCAAGGGGAAAATGTGGGGCTTGTAATTTGGGACTGCCTGAAAACCATTTTGTTCACAGAATGGAGCCATGCGTAGCTTTTCCCACCAGCATTTTGCAATAAGACGCGCTAGCCTAGTCCAGTTACTCATACTTGTTAGTCTAGCCTTCTAGCTCCGGGGGACCCAGCTTCCCACCGTCTCAACCATCTCGCTTCGTGCAGCATTTCTAGCACCCCACTGCTCACCGCTACCCTCATCGCGAGTGCACCCACGCGTCCTGCGAACCGTTTCCCGCGCCCGCTGCGCCTCCAAGCTTCCTACCGCTGCCCATTACCCACTTTCCGCCCCCCTCGGCGCTGGTTGGCTGCAAAACGGGACCCGCTTCCCGCTATTTCCCGCTTCGCGCAGCCCATGCGAACCGCATCGACTCGCCCACCTTCCCATGCCACCATGTCGTTGCTTCCCGCAGCGACTCGCTCCCCAGAGCCCGCTGTGCAGCCCTTCCTCGCTTCCCGCTGCCTTCCCGATTCCCGGTTCCTGCAAGCTCTGCGCTTGCGGAATGTTTGGCGCCGTTCGATAGGCGCGGGGACAGAGATGGAGAGAGGGGCGACGAATAGAGGAGAGAGAGGGGGGTGGATAGGAGGCGCGTGAAGAGGGAGGAAATGAGGTGAGAGATCAGGGAGTAAGTGTGGCGAAATAGCAGGGAAATTGAGAGGCGACATAGCAGGGGATAAGAGAGGCGAGAGAGAAGAGAACAAGAGAGGCGAGAGACGGGTGGGGGGGAGGGGGGAGGAAGAGAGGCGAAAGAGGGAGGAGGAAGAGAAGAGAGAGAGGGGAGGAGGAAGAGAGGAGAGAGATGAGGGAGGAAGAGAGGCGAGAGAGGGGGGAGGAAGAGAGGGGAGAGAGGGGGGAGGAAGAGAGGGGAGAGATGAGGGAGTGCGATAGGCGAGAAACCAGGGAGGTAGAGAGGCGAGATTCGAGGGGGGGAAGAGACCAGAGAGAGCTGGCGGGAAGAGAGGAGAGAGAGCAGGGAGAACGAGAGGAGAGAGAGGGCGGCGGAAGAAGGGAGAGAGAGGGGGAGGAAGAGAAGCGAGAGAGGGGGGCAGAAGAGAGGCTCAGGAGGAGGGAGGAAGAGAGGCGAAGCAGCAGGGAAGAGAGCGGGGCGTGAGAGAGGGAGAAAGGCAAGAGGGCGGGAACATGGAAGAGAGGAGTGAGAGCAACGGGATCATGAGGAGTGAGGGCAGGGGAGGGAGACAAGCGTCAGAGTGCAGGGAGAGTGAGGGGAGCAGGAGAGGGGTAGTGGATTGAGAGCAGGGGAGGGGGAGAGGAGGGAGACATGGGAGGGGGAGAGGAGGGAGAGCAGCGATGGGTGAGATGCGTGAGAGCAGGGGAGGGGAAACGGCAGGAGTGCACGGGAGGGAGTGAGGTAGCAGGAAGGGAGTGAGTGAGGCATGAGGGCAGGGAGGGAGTGAGTGAGGCATGAGAGCAGGGAGGGAGTGTAGGCTAAGGATTGTGGGGAGGTGAGTGTGGGGAAGGTAGGGAGGGCGGAAGGTAGGGAGGGTGGAAGGGTGGGAGGGCGGAAGGGAGGGAGGGCGGAAGGGAGTGGGGGCGGGAAGGGGCAGATGTAGCACGTGTGAGGAAGGGAAGGGACAGTCCAGTTGTGAGGGCGGAAGGTGGTGAGGGCCGAAGGTAGGGAGGGTGGATGATTGGGGGGGCTGATGGCAGGGAGGGCAGAACAGTGGGGGGGGCAGAAGGACGGAGCGTTGCGCCTGAGAACCGAGGGAGTGAGGCGCGAGGGCAGGGAGGGTGGGGGGAGCGTTAGAGGGGGGGGCAGTAGGTGGCTCGGACAGCAGGTAGGATGGCCAGCATCTCAACTCACTCAGGATCACCTCTCCTTTCTCCACTCTCCTGCCTCTGCCTCTCGCCTCTCCTCTCTTCCCCCTCCGCCTCTCCCTTCTCCCCTCTTCCCCTCTTCACCCCTTTGTTCCCCACATCCCCCTGTTGCCCTCACAGCTCGCTTCCCACAGCATCTCATTGCAGTGCAACGACTTTTGGGACTGTTCTGTGCTCCGGTCCCAAGGCTCCAGTCCTGTGCTCCAGTCCCAAGGCTCCAGTCCTGTGCTCCAAACCCCCTGTCCATACCCTCGCCATACATGTTTTTGGAATATCATAACGTTATTGTTATTATCTTGTTGAATTCCACCAGCGATTCAGACCGTTATGAGGTTGAGCAAGCAGTGCCAAGTATCAGTCTGATTATAACCTTGTTGCCTCAAACACACAAGCTACACAAAGTGGAAATCTAATGGAGCAGCGTGCAGTACGAAGCTGGCATAGGCATTAGTACATGCCAGCACGATGGGCTGATGGGAGGCAGCATAAGCTTTGACGCCAGGTGGCCTGACAATGCGGTAGTCGAGGCTGTATTCCAGCAATACCTGCTTGCCTGATCTTCCGTCCAACCCCCTTCCTCCCCACTTCCTCCGCCCCCCTTGCTCTGCCATATCCTCCCCACTTCCTCCGCCCCCCTTGCTCTGCCATACCCTCCCCTTTCTCCATGCCCCTTACCCCCCTCGTTCTGCCATGCCCTCCCCTTTCCTCTCCACCCCCTTACTCCCCTCACTCTGCCACACCCTCCCCTTTCCCCTCCACCGCCTTACCCCCCTCACTCTGCCATACCCTAATGGGAGCAGACAAATAGCCTCTACAGGACCCACTACCCTCTAGTCCCGAATTTCCGGGTCGTACTCCACCTCCACCCAACCCCTCCCACCCCCGATACAGTCACGCTTACCTGTCTCGACCTTTCTTCTTCCATTCCGCACCTCTCTCCTCCCCTTTCCGCACCTATCTCCTCCCCTTTCCGCGCCTCTCTCCTCCCTTTCCGCTCCTCTCCCCTCCCCTTTCCGCACCTCTCTCCTCCCCTTTCCGCACCTCTCTCCTCCCCTTTCCGCACCTCTCTCCTCCCCTTTCAGCCTTAACCATGTCCGCAGTTAGCTCGCAGCCGCAGAGACTTCTACCGGACTCTCTCTACCTGCGACCGAACCAAGGGTGCACCCTAAACCTTGGTTTCAGCGCTTCTTTGCGGGGAAAACGAGGCTCTGGGCTGCCATCGCATCCCATATTTCAGCTCTCCTCGCGTCGGCTTTCCAGCGACGAGTCCAGCTCCCGGCAACGCATTGCGCCATGAGAGAGGCGGCTCCCAGGTTCGCGCCACATGCGTAACAGGCGTTGCTGGCATACTTTCGGGTCCCTCTCTTGGCGTTTCGTATTGCAGCTGTGTATCTCCTACCCGTTTGCATTATGCGAAAGTTTTTATTTGCGAGTAATCGCCGTACTAACCAGAGGCGCCAAGTAGAAGAAAGCTTTGCCCTACTAGGTCAATCGATCGCCCGCGCACAAATGAGGGGCATTGCGACACTCAGACCTGTGAGCTATTGGCCGCGTATTCTGCACTCTGCTTTTGCCGCGCAAGCCTTCGTTTCTAACAGCTGTCGCCTTGTACGCGTATGTCGCTCCTCACTACTCAGCGCGGTAGACGCTGGGGTGATGAGTTTGCTGGCTTGTGTGTTTTTGGAACATGTATTGCTGGGTGTGGTGGTGCGAGTAGATGGACTCTGTTTGGCAGGAAGTCTGTCTTTCGGCTGTTGCGATTGTAATTCTGTTTCGAAATACCTCGAAGACTTAAACGTTTCTGAAGTGTAACACTACACTCGAAGAAATGTCGTATCGAGTTCGCGAATCAATGGAGGTTACATGAGGAGGTTGGATGAAAGAACACGAAAGGACGAAGGGACCCGAAGGATCGCAACTGGAGGTTGCGACTGACCATTACGCCTGCAAGGGTGGTAACCAAACCATTGATCGAGTCGCTGTGCGACTCGATAACCGTTTCTTCAACTGTATTCTACAACTGCTCTATTTCCTATTTTCTATATATTGCTGTATGCTTGTTTCTTTTAATCAATCACTTGCTCTCACATACTAGTGCAAGGGTTCAACTACTCAATACTTCTGCTGCACTACTCAAGCATCTTGTACAAGTGGGACTTAGTCTCTGAAAGATCCTAAGGACATTTCTCAACCTAACACGGTATGAGAGCCGGTCAGAGACCAAACTCCCATCAAACGACATCCTATCTACAGTCAGCACATCAAGAGCTTCTTCGATTACAAGTCATGGACAACAAGGGCAAGAAGTCTTCAACGGGCTCACCCAGCGCCCAAGACACTCAACCCGGCATCTCTGGATTACACACTTCAGGATAACAAACTGAGACCGGCGCTGCTCAAGAAGCAAGAGGAAGGGTACCAACAATGGTGACTCCTTCACCCTCTTCAAGCGCGGACACAAACCTTATGGAAGGTTCTTCAGCTTCATGTCGCACTTTGACCAGCAACAACAGACAAGAACACCTGCGCATTCAACACAGAGCAACGGGGGAAATATGGGATTAGCGCCAATAAGCCTCGACAACTCATCATTCGGGCGGCACAATCAGGCGCCTACCTTTGCGCCTTATCACTCTTCACCGGGGACGTTCGAGTTCATGCCGCCCCGTGCTCAACCGACAGCAGCTGCATCACAACAGACACCAAACGAGATATTAAGTCTCCAGGCGCAGTTTTCACATATGACCAAACTGCAGACATCTTCACCGTTCAACGGGCACGCCTTCTTTACTTGGAGTTTTGAGTTTGAGCTGCTGATGGAGACCGCGCATCCCTTGGGATACTTCAACGGGTCCCTGCCATTTCCAAGCAATGGCACTGCAAAGGAACAGGAAATCTTCACTTATCAGTCCCTGCTGGCGTACACGGTTCTCCTGCGAAATATGTCACTACAAGAGCAACAAAGCATCATAACGTATCGGAGCCATGGAAACTCCGCGGAGCTCGCTTGGCGTCATCTAGAGTGTCTTTATCAAGCAAAGGACAGCGTGACACAAATCAAACTCATGCTGCGGTTGACAACAATACAAATGAAGACCGGGGAAAAGACGATGCAGTATATGAGTCGCTGCCAGACACTCCGCGACCGCCTGCTTCGGTGCGGAGGTACAATCACTGAGGAAAGCTTCGTTACACTTGTTCTCGCTGGGCTTGGACTAGAATGGAGAACCACCAGCTCGCTCCTTCGCGCCCACGGACGAATTTACGAGATGCATCTCTGCGCCGAACTTCATGCGGAACAACAGGAGATGGACCTGCTTGAAGAAAGACAACCAAGAAACAAGCACCAACTGTTAGTCTTTTATACTCATCGAAGAAACGACAACAACTACAACCGACGTGATAAGCACAACCGACACGACACAAGGGGACTCACCATCGTGCCGCCGTTCTACCACAACTGTGAGACATCCGGGCACTCCAAAGTTGACTGCACACGCCCTCGAGTTTATCGTCCAGCAGACCCGCAAGTCGCCTCCACTCAAGAGAATCCGCTGAGTCGCTCCTCTACACCTGCACAAGGTGCACCGAACATCATTAACTACATGGTGCACATCGACAACTGCACACCCGGATCACCACCCACTTACGCTCCAGACGAAGAAGAACTGCCGCCGCCACGCTTACAAGGTCTCCAGGTCAACCCGACGTACGCTGTAGTCGCCAACGCCGAACCCACCGGGCGAAACACCTGGTTCTTGGACAGCTGCTGCGGCCAACATATGTGTTCTTCCAGGCGCTTCGTGCAACGAGAGCGATGCTGTGAGAGTACGACCCCGTTACACCACTTGTCCCTTTTTTTATTTCCTTTCTCTTTCATTTCTCTTTTTATCTCATCTCATTTGGTTTCATATTCTCCATTTTCCATTAACCTTTGGTTTATCCTGCTATTATAATTATATCACCGACCAGGCTTGGGATGTACTGGTGCGCTATCTGGCGTAATCCTGCCGTAATCCCTTAAAGCCAATAGCCTCGCGTGGCTATACGCAGGGTGATTCCGTCTTCTAGAAGGGTCTATTCCCTTAGGATAAGATAAACCTGGTTACCTGATGTCCTTTGGAAGTATAAAAGCGCCTTGTACAGATCGATAGTGCAACCTTTCCTCGAGACATTTGATCCTGTGACAGATGCCTTAACCGCGATGTCATCATCACTGTCGCCAACAACGAGAACCTGAAAACAAACAGATAAGGTATCGTTCAGCTTCAGTCAATGGAGACAAACGTCATACTACAACTCAACAAAGTTCTCATCGTCGACAACTTGGGGCACAATCTACTACGCGTTAGCCAGTTAATAGCGAAGGGTATTCACCTGGAATGCGATTCGGACGACAACGAGTTTCGTCTCTACCATGGGAAGGGCAGCCTCTTCATCGGTCACGCTCTCCTAAAGTCGGGTGTCTTCGTGCTGGATTTCGTCCCCGACCGCGGTACTGCCAACAGCGATGGCATCGTGTCGTTTGCCGCCTGGATGCACCCGCCGGATCTTGACCCCGCCTTTACCCCAGATGGCTTCTGGCACTCCAACACCATCCCTGCAGCAGAACGAACACGAGCATTAGCAGTCATCCACCAAGAACGACAAGTACCAGCAAACATCCATCCTCCAACATCACTTGCAGCAGCTGCAACAGGACCCATCCGTATGCCATCACCAGCAATCCGAGGACCAGCCATCCGAAGCAGATCAACTCACGCCCATCACCCGAGGAGTCTGCCGCAATCCCGCCACGGTCGTCGCGTTCTTCTCCAACGCCGACGTGTACCAACGCTCACCCGGCCATCGCGCTCCCGACGACATCTGGCATCAACGCCTCGGATACCCTGCAAACAGTACAGTACTACAAACCATACAAGCCGGAGTATTAGAAAAGGACGCTCTTCTCACAACGAGCGGTCAAGAACTTCAACGACCCCGTGCACGATGCTTCGATGCTTCCCAACCAACCTTTCCCGTTGCACCTGCACACGAACCGATGGAAAAAGTCTACAGCGACATTTTAAATATGCCTCGAGACGACAGTGAAGCAGACTACAACTATGTCATCACGTTCATCGACGCAGCAACACAATACGTCTGGCACTACAACCTCAAGACACGAGATCAAGCATGTGAAGCCTTCACGACGTGGCTCCCCATCGCTGAGCGAGAATCGGGCTCGCAACTCAAGAGTTTCCAGTCAGACGGGGCACTGGAGTACCAGTCACAATGATTAAGGAACTACTTGGCAGAAAGAGGCATCAGACGCCTGGTGTCTCTACCCTATGCTCACCAGCAGCAGGGGGTCACAGAGAGGATGAACAGAACCTTGCAGACGACGATGCGGAAGCTGCTCCTGGGGATGAGACTGCCCAACACGCTTTGGCCAGAAGCGATGACGCATGCAGTCCACCTGCACAATTTGCTGTCCTCGACGTCACTTCCCAACAACGCATCACCGCACCTGCTGTGGACATGAAAACAGGGCAGCACAAAATTACTTCAAGTATTCGGCTGCATGGTACTGTACAGACCCCATACAGCTCGAGCAGGACGATTCTCTCAACGAGCACGATGGGGACTACACCTCGGCATCGCAAAACATTTCCAGGCATGGAAACTTCTCGACATTCAAGACAAAAGCACCGTGGCCTCACGTGATGTGATTTTCTACGAGCGACTGACACTGCAGCATCACCTGGACAACATCGCCAACACAGAAGACCCCACCGACGGCTTCGAGGGCCATCGGTGCTGCCGAAGCTGACGCAGCAGAAGAAGACGTACCTGAAGCCTCGGAAGCTGCCGGACCACTCCCTTACTCCTCCGTGCCCGTTCCACTCGACGACGACAATCCTCTCGATAGTAACAACCTCGACACTTATTACCACTTCGCTGACCAAGTTACACTACACCTCAACCGGTCGACACAAATATCTCTGAACGTATCGGACCCAATTTCTTACCTGCCCCGAGGACGGAGACGAAGCAGCTTATCCTGAGAATGTCAATTCTCCTCTACAAACACCCACGGGCCTGCAGATACTTGGACTATGGGTCGCCGTCCAGAGCCCGCTGCCGCCGTTACCGCGCGAGCCAACGACTCTGTCGCAGGCTCTGGGGGGGGAACACAAGGCGAAATGGAAAGAAGCAATGGAAAAGGAACTGAAGGCCCTGCAAGACCGAAATACGTGGAAGCTGGTACCTGCAACAAAAACCAACGGGAAGATGTGCTCTCGGCGAAATGGGTGTACCGCATTAAGACTAATGCGGATGGCTCCATCGACCGCTTCAAGGCTCGCTGGGTCGTACGAGGATTCGACAAGCGATACGGAACCGACTACACGGAGTCATTCGCCCCAGTCTCCCGACATACTTCCCTGCGCATTCTGCTCGAAAAAGCTACCACTACGCCAGATCGATATCGCCAATGCCTTCCTGTACGCACCTGTGGACGCCGAAATCTTCGTCGAGTAGCCCCACGGATTCATCAACGATCCCACAAAAGTGTGCCAGCTGGTAAAATCCCTCTACGGAATTAAACAAGCCCCGCGGCTCTGGCAGCAGCACCTTTCACGGCCGCCTCGTCAGGATCGGTTTTTTGCAGCTGCCGCACGATGAAGGGATGTACCGACTACAGAAAGGAGGGGACTTCGTCCTACTCATCGTCTACGTCGATGACCTACTCTACGTCGGCTCCACTACCAACGTCGCCACCTGGTTCGAAGGGGAGGTGAGGAGTGACTACTCACGGTGTCAGACACCGTGAGCCAGTACCTAGGTCTAAACATCGTCGAAGACGACTCGGCGTTCTACCTACACGCCGAAAAATACGCAGGCGTTGTCACGAAGAAATTCGACCTAACGCCAGTCACAATCGTGACTCCCTATCTTTACGGGAACAAATGTCAAACCTCCGCAAAGCTCCCCGCAAAGCAAATCCAGGAATATCAACAAAACCTCTGCTGGTCTACTGTTCGCAGCAGTAACCTGCCGACCGGATCTGTCCTACAACGCGAGCCAACTGGCGACACACCTGAAGCAGCCGGAGCAAGAGGATCTCGAGGAGCTGAATCGGGCACTGCTCTACTTCGTCTCTACGCCGACGACTGGACTTACCTACACCAAAGTAACGCCATCCTTTGTACAGCTACTCGGCTACGTCGACGCCGACCACGCGGGAGATAGGGAGAATCGTCGCTCCAGAACGGGCTACATCTACCGACTAGAGCCTATCGGGACTATCTCCTGGCAATCGAGCAAGCAGGAACTAATCGCACTATCCTCGGCTGAAGCGGAATACATCGCTCTCTCCTCTGCGACCAAAGAAGGACTTTATCTACGGGAGCTACTCGAGGAAGCGAAAAACGCGACCATGCCCGTCTTCTCGCTATTTTGCGACAACCAATTCGCGATTGAAATCGCGAACAAAAACGGGTTCGCCAATCGAACCAAGCACATCGCTCTGCGGTATTTCTTCGTCAAGGATGAGATCGCGAAGGGGAGACTTCAACTCAGTTACTGCCCCACGACAAAAATGGCTGCAGATTACCTGACGAAGAAAATGGCAAAGGCAAAGTTCGATTACTGCATGCTGCTGACCGAGCAAAGAAACGTCACCGAATACGGACACGTCAGCACTCCAGAAACGAAGAAGAGTGTTGAAAATACCTCGAAGACTTAAACGTTTCTGAAGTGTAACACTACACTCGAAGAAATGTCGTATCGAGTACGCGAGTCAACGGAGGTTACATGAGGAGGTTGGATGAAAGAACACAAAAGGACGAAGGGATCCGAAGGATCGCAACTGGAGGTTGCGACTGACCGTTACGACTGCAAGGGTGGTAATCGAACCATTGATCGAGTCGCTGTGCGACTCGATAACTGTTTCTTCAAATGTATTCTACAACTGCTCTATTTCCTATTTTCTATATATTGCTGTATGCTTGTTTCTTTCAATCATCACTTGCTCTCACATACTAGTCCAAGGGTTCAACTACTCAATACTTCCGCTGCACTACTCAAGCATCTTGTACAAGTGGGACTTAGTCTCTGAAAGATCCTAAGGACCTTTCTCAGCCTAACATGGTATGAGAGCCGGTCAGATACGAAACTCCCATCAAACGACATCCTATCTACAGTTAGCACATCAAGAGCTTCTCCGATTACAAGTCATGGACAACAAGGGCAAGAAGTCTTCAACGGGCTCACCCAGCGCCCAAGACACTCAACCCGGCATCTCTGGACTACACACTTCAGGATTACAAACTGAGGCCGGCGCTGCTCAAGAAACGACAGGAAGGGTACCAAAAATGGTGACTCCTTCACCCTCTTCAGGCGTAGACACAAACCTTATGGAAAGGTTCTTTAGCTTATGTGTTTCGCACGGTTGTCTTCCATGTTTGGCCCCTCGCAGCCAATCTCAGGCTGTTCGCGCCAATCCGAGCCGCGTTCTGTAAATCGGCTTTTCGCGGCTTGCAATTACTGTAGCTTGCGACTATTTGTGAGGGAATTGATTACGCCATAATTTTGTTTTTTTCCTCCCGCCAGCATCTGTACAGTTTTGTATTTTTGTTTCGAATTCGCGTGTGTCCATAGAAGTGAGGCTGGAGTCCACGGGAGAAGCGAAACTTCGATGTGTTTCCATGAAAGTAGGGCCTGTCCACGGATGTATGAAAAGTTTCGTGGACAGCCCGCGGCAGCAGTTTTCCCTTTGGGGACCTTGAAATTGGACATTACATTCTGGTCAACGAGAGCCCAGCGCATTCTGTAGTACCTCAGCGCGACTTGGTTCTAGTGGAGGTGGGACATGTCAGCGAGAATCGTGACCCTAGATCGCAACTATAGGTTGCTAGCAGAGTACAGGGTACCGAGTCGGTTGCTACTTAGACGTGTTTTACGCCCGCCATGCTTCCAGCGGCTGTCGCGCTCGGCAATTATTACTGGCTTAGCGAATTCGCGACGTCTCGATTGCCCGCATCTGGGATGTGCTGCTCCGAGCCACGTGGATCCCTACTTGGGAAATCCGTCATTCGGGAATCGAGTTCATGGAGTATAAAGTGGAACGGTTTTGTACCTTCAAAACCATGTCTCGTGGTTAACAGCACTCGGCTCACTCTTCGAGAGTTGTTAGTCCAGCCCAACACGACTCAATTGATACTTTCAGGCATAAACTTCAGCGCATTTACAGCGTCCAGTCAAACCCCGAAGGCCCACTGCAGGGCGACTCCGTCTCACTTTGATCACGGCCCCGCGGATTTTCCGAGAGGCAAGTCGCCTCGCTGGCAATCATGGCGGTCAAGCGATGGTTGAATGTTGTCGGCGCCGCATTGGGTGAGTTCTCCACGTCTCACCTTTGACGGTAGGTGACCCATCAGGTGACCTGCTCGGAACCCCGCGGGTTACCCCCATGTGTGAATCCCCAAGGTATCCTGTGGGGCTCTTGGGGGGAACAATTTGCAGGGGTCAATTTTGGGATGCGCTTTCCATCCCAGGCAGCGAGCAAGCACATGAAATGCGCTTACTTTCACACCGCTCACGTGTAGTAAGGCGCTTGCACTCGCCTCTGCAACGCCGTTTCCTTCTTTCTCGCCACCAAATCCCCATGCTGTCATGATGCGCTCTGGTTTTCTGCCTGCACACCATCTCTCTCCTCTCTCTCCCATCCCTCACTCTCCTCTCCGTCCCTCTCCTCCCATCCCGCGCTCGACCCCATTCTCCAGTATTCGCCATAGTCACATGTGCGATCGCCGTTCCAGCTCTGACTTACGTCACGCATATTGGAGCTTTAGGTGGGTCAGCGTGCGCCAATGCGCCTCGCAAGCTGCTGCTGCTGCGAGCCTTGAGTCACAGGCAGCTGCAAGCAGAGGATGAAGCTGCAGGTGCTGCAGAGAGCAGCGACGCTCAGACCGCCACTGCTGACCCCACCAGCGGCGAGGCAGGCAGCGCTGACACCACCAGCAGCGGCGAGGCGGGCAGCGCCGACACCACCAGCAGCGGCGAGGCGGGCTGCGCTGACACCACCAGCAGCGGCGAGGCGGGCAGCGCCAACACCACCAGCAGCGGCGAGGCGGGCAGCGCTGACACCACCAGTAGCGGAGAGGTGGGCAGTGCCGACACCACCAGCAGCGGCGAGGCCGGCAGCGCTGACACCACCAGTAGCGGAGAGGTGGGCAGTGCCGACACCACCAGCAGCGGCGAGGCCGGCAGCGCTGACACCACCAGCAGCGGCGAGGCGGGCAGCGCGGACACCACCAGCAACGGCGAGGCGGGCAGCGCGGACACCACCAGCAGCGGCGAGGCGGGCAGCGCCGACACCACCAGCAGCGGTGAGGTGGGCAGCGCCGACACCACCAGCAGCGGCGAGGCGGGCAGCGCTGACATCACCAGCAGAGGCGAGGCGGGCAGCGCTGACACCACCAGCAGCGGCGAGGCGGGCAGCGCAGACACCACCACAAGCGGCGAGGCGGGCAGCGCTGACACCACCAGCAGCGACGAGGCGGGCAGCGCTGACACCACCAGCAGCAGCGAGGCGGGCAGCGCTGACACCACCATAAGGGGCGAGGCGGACAGCGCCGACACCACCAGCAGCGGCGAGGCGGGCAGCGCTGACAACACCGGCAGCGGCAAGGCAGGCAGCGCTGGCACCACCAGCAGCGGCGAGGCGGGCAGCGCCGACACCACCAGCAGCGGCGAGGCGGGCAGCGCCGACACCACCAGCAGGGGCGAGGCGGGCATCGCCGACACCACCAGCAGCGGCGAGGCGGGCAGCGCCGACACCACCAGCAGCGCCGAGGTGGGCAGCGCCGACACCACCAGCAGCGGCGAGGCGGGCTGCGCTGACACCACCAGCAGCGGCCAGGCGGGCAGCGCCGACACCACCAGCAGCGGCGAGGCGGGCAGCGCTGACACCACCAGTAGCGGAGAGGTGGGCAGTGCCGACACCACCAGCAGCGGCGAGGCCGGCAGCGCTGACACCACCAGCAGCGGCGAGGCGGGCAGCGCGGACACCACCAGCAACAGCGAGGCGGGCAGCGCGGACACCACCAGCAGCGGCGAGGCGGGCAGCGCCGACACCACCAGCAGCGGTGAGGTGGGCAGCGCCGACACCACCAGCAGCGGCGAGGCCGGCAGCGCCGACACCACCAGCAGCGGCGAGGCGGGCAGCGCTGACATCACCAGCAAAGCCGAGGCGGGCAGCGCTGACACCACCAGCAGCGGCGAGGCGGGCAGCGCAGACACCACCACAAGCGGCGAGGCGGGCAGCGCTGACACCACCAGCAGCGACGAGGCGGGCAGCGCTGACACCACCACAAGGGGCGAGGCGGACAGCGCCGACACCACCAGCAGCGGCGAGGCGGGCAGCACTGGCAACACCGGCAGCGGCAAGGCAGGCAGCGCTGGCACCACCAGCAGCGGCGAGGCGGGCAGCGCCGACACCACTAGCAGCGGCGAGGCGGGCAACGCCGACACCACCAGCAGGGGCGAGGCGGGCATCGCCGACACCACCAGCAGCGGCGAGGCGGGCAGCGCCGACACCACCAGCAGCGCCGAGGTGGGCAGCGCCGACACCACCAGCAGCGGCGAGGCCGGTAGCGCTGACACCACCAGCAGCGGCAAGGCTGGCAGCCCTGACACCACCAGCAGCGGCGAGGCGGGCAGCGCTGACACCACCAGCAGCGGCAAGGCGGGCAGCGCCGACATCACCAGCAGCGGCGAGGCGGGCAGCGTTGACTCCACAACCAGCGGCGAGGCAGGCAGCGCTGACACCATCACCAGCGGCGAGGCGGGCAGCGCTGACACCACCAGCAGTGGGGAGGCTGACAGCGCTGACACCACCACAAGCGGCGAGGCGGGCAGCGCCGACACCACAAGCAGGGGCGAGGCGGGCAGCGCCGACACCACCAGCAGCGGCGAGGCCGGCAGCACTGACACCACCAGCAGCGGCGAGGCGGGCAGCGCTGACACCACCAGCAGCGGCGAGGCAGGCAGCGCGGACACCAGCAGCAGCTGCGAGGCGGGCAGCGCGGACACCACCAGCAGCGGCGAGGCGGGCAGCGCTGACACCACCAGCAGAGACAAGGAAGGCAGCGCTGACACCACCAGCAGCGGTGAGGCAGGCAGTGCTGACACAACCAGCAGCGGCGAGGCGGGCAGCGCTGACACCACCACCAGCGGCGAGGCCGGCAGCACTGACACCACCAGCAGCGGCGAGGCGGGCAGCGCTGACACCTCCACAAGGGGCGAGGCGGGCAGCGCCGACACCACCAGCAGCGGCGAGGCGGGCAACGCTGACACCACCAGCAGCGGCGAGGCGGGCAGCGCTGACACCACCAGCAGCGGCGAGGCGGGCAGCGCTGACACCACCAGCAGCGGCGTGGTGGGCAGCGCCGACACCACCAGCAGCGGCGAGGCGGGCAGCGCTGACACCACCAGCAGCGGCGAGGCGGGCAGCACTGACACCACCGCCAGAGGCGAGGCGGGCAGCGCCGTAACCACCACCAGCGGCGAGGCCGGCAGCGCTGACACCACAACCAGCGGTGAGGCGGGCAGTGCCGACACCACCAGCAGCGGCGAGGTGGGCAGCGCTGACACCACCAGCAGCGGCGAGGCGGGCAGTGCCGACACCACCAGCAGTGGCGAGGCCGGCAGCGCTGACACCACCAGCAGCGTCATGGCCGGCAGCGCTGACACTACCACTAGCGGCGAGGCGGGCAGCGCGGACACCACCAGCAGCGGCGATGCGGGCAGCGCCGACACCACCACCAGCGGCGAGGCGGGCAGCGTCGACACCACCAGCAGCAGCGAGGCCGGCAGCGCCGACACCACCAGCAGCGGCGCAGCAGGCAGCGCCGACACCACCAGCAGCGGCGAGGCCGGCAGCGCTGACACCACCAACAGCGGCGAGGGGGGCAGCGCGGACACCACCAGCAGCGGCGAGGCGGGCAGCGCCGACACCACCAGCGGAGGCGAGGGGGGCAGCGCTGACACCACAAGCAGCGGCGAGGTGGGCAGTGCTGAAACCACCACAAGCGGCGAGGCGGGCAGCACCGACACCACCAGCAACCGCGAGGCTGGCAGCGCCGACACCACCACAAGCGGCGAGGCCAGCAGCGCTGACACCACCAGCAGCGGCGAGGCGGGCAGCGCTGACACCACCAGCAGCGGCGAGCCGGGCAGCGCGGACACCACCAGCAGCGGCGAGGCGGGCAGCGCCGACACCACCAGCAGCGGCGAGGCGGGCAGCGCTGACACCACAACCACCGGCGAGGGGGGCAGCGTGGACACCACCACCAGCGACGAGGCGGGCGGTGCCGACACCACCAGCAGCGGCGAGGTCGGCAGCGCTGACATCACCAGCAGCTGTGAGGCGAGCAGCGCTGACACCACCCGCAGCGGCGAGACGCGCAGCGCTGGCACCACCAGCAGCGGCGAGGCGGGCAACACCGACACCACCAGCAGCGGCGAGGCCGGAAGCGCTGACACCACCAGCAGCGGTGAGGCGGGCAGCGGTGACACCACCAGTAGCGGGGAGGCTGGCAGCGCTGACACCACCAGCAGCGGCGAGGCGGGCAGCGCTGACACCACAACCATCGGCGAGGCGGGCAGTGCCGACACCTCCAGCAGCGGCGAGGTGGGCAGCGCTGACACCACCAGCAGCGGAGAGGCGGGCAGTGCTGACACCACCACAAGTGGCGAGGCGGGCAGCGCCGACACCACCAGCAGTGGCGAGTCCGGCAATGCTGACACCACCACCAGCGGCGAGGCGGGCAGCGCTGACACCACCAGCAGCGGCGAGGCGGGCAGCGCTGATACCACCAGCAGCGGCGAGGCGGGCAGCGCTGACACCACCAGCAGAGGCGAGGCGGGCAGCGCCGACACCACCACCAGCGGCGAGGCCGGCAGCGCTGACACCACAACGAGCGGTGAGGCGGGCAGTGCCGACACCACCAGCAGCGGCGAGGCGGGAAGCGCTGACACCACCAGCAGCGGCGAGGCGGGCAGCTCTGACACCACCAGCAGCGGCGAGGCCAGCAGCGCTGACACCACCAGCAGTGGCAATTCGGGCAGCGCGGACACCACCAGCAGTGGCGAGTCGGGCAGCGCTGACACCACCAGCAGCGGCGAGGCGGGCAGCGCCGATACCACCAGCAGCGGTGAGGCGGGCAGCGCTGACACCAGAACCAGCGGCGAGGCGTGCAGCGCTGACACCACCAGCAGCGGCGAGGCGGGCAGCACTGACACCACCACCAGCGGCGAGGCGGCAGCGCTGACACCAGAACCAGCGGCGAGGCGGGCAGCGCTGACACCACCACCAGCGGCGAGGCGGGCGGCGCCGACACCACCAGCAACGGTGAGGCTGGCATCGCTGACACCACCAGCAGCGGCGAGGCGGGCAGCGCTGACACCACCAGCAGCGGCGATTGGGGCAGCACTGATACCACCACCAGCGGCGAGGCGGGCAGCGCTGACACCACCAGCAGCAGCGAGGTGGGCAGCGCTGACACCACCACCAGCGGCGAGGCCAGCAGCGCTGACACCACCACTAGCGGCGAAGCCAGTAGCACTGACACCTCCACTATCGTTGAGTCCAGCACCACCACAAGCAGCGAAGCCAGCACCACCACAAGCGACGAGTCCGGCAGCTCTGACACCACAACAAGCGGCGAGTCGAGCATTGCTGACACCACCAGCAGCGGCGAGGCGGGGAGCGCTGACACCACCACAAGCGGCATGGCCAGCAGCGCTGACACTACCACCAGTGGCGAAGCCAGTAGCGCTGACACCACCACCACCGGCGAAGCCAGCAGCAGTGACACCACCACTGTTGTTGAGTCTAGCACCACCACAAGCGGCGAAGCCTGCACCACCACAAGCGGCGAGGCCGGCAGCGCTGACACCACCACCAGTGGCGAGGCGGGCTGCGCTGACACCACCAGCAGCTGCGAGGCGGTCAGCGCTGACACCACCACCAGCGGCGAGGCCAGCAGCGCTGACACTACCACCAGCGGCGAAGCCAGCAGCGCTGACACCATAACCAGCGGCGAAGCCAGCAGCAGTGACACCACCACTATCGTTGAGTCCAGCACCACCACAGGCGGCGAAGCCAGCACCACCACAAGCGGCGAGGCCGGCAGCGCTGACACCACCACCAGTGGCGAGGCGGGCTGCGCTGACACCACCAGCAGCAGCGAGGCGGTCAGCGCTGACACCACCACCAGCGGCGAGGCCAGCAGCACTGACACTACCACCAGCGGCGAAGCCAGCAGCGCTGACACCATAACCAGCGGCGAAGCCAGCAGCAGTGACACCACCACTATCGTTGAGTCCAGCACCACCACAGGCGGCGAAGCCAGAACCACCACAATCGGCGAGGCCAGCAGCGCTGACACCACCACCAGTGGCGAGGCGGGCTGCGCTGACACCACCAGCAGCAGCGAGGCGGTCAGCGCTGACACCACCACCAGCGGCGAGGCCAGCAGCGCTGACACTACCACCAGCGGCGAAGCCAGCAGCGCTGACACCATAACCAGCGGCGAAGCCAGCAGCAGTGACACCACCACTATCGTTGAGTCCAGCACCACCACAGGCGGCGAAGCCAGCACCACCACAAGCGGCGAGGCGGGCAGCGCTGACACCACCACCAGTGGCGAGGCGGGCAGTGCTGACACCACCAGCAGCGGCGAAGCCATAAGTGCTGACACCACCAGCAGCAGCATCGACGGCACCAACAGCATTGGTAACATCAGCACCAGCGATGGCACTAGCAGCAGCGGTGGCACCAACAGCAGCGACGGGGACACCAGGAGCATCGGTGTCACCAGCACCAGTGTCGGGGTTAACATCAGCAGCAGCGACAGTAGCGGCGCTGACACTAGGAGTGCCGGCAACACTAGCAGTGTTGGCGGCACCAGCACCGGCGGCAGCGGTAGCAGCAGCAGCAGCGGCGGCAGCGGGAGCGGGAGCGGTGTGGACAGTGCAGCAGTGGTAGAGGAGCACAACACGGCATGGCGGGAAGTAGGCGTGGCAGACCTCTCTTGGGACGAGGCACTGGCAGCAGCAGCGCAGCAGTGGGCAGCTGACCTCGTTTCCCGGGGCTGCCCCCGGGAGCGCGAAGGCGCGGACGGCCTCGGGCAGAACCTCTGCTGGATGGGGCCTGCGCAGATGAACAGTGACGAGGACCGCGCGGCGGTGCGGGCGTGGGTGGCGGAGAAGGCGGGATGGACGAACAGTGCGGTGCCGGGAGGGTGTGTGGAGGGCAAGCATTGCGCGGAGTACACGCAGGTGGTGTGGCGGGACACCACGCATGTCGGGTGCGCTGTGCAGTGCGCGGATGGGGGGGGGCTGTGGGTGTGTGACTACAAGCCCCAGGGAAACGTTGTTGGCACCACTCCTTACTAGGAGCGCTTTCTACGGGAACATGGGTGGAATGATGTCTTGTCACTCCGCTTTCCTCTTTGGAGTGAATTTCTGCAAAAGAGAGATTGCGCAGGAGCAACATACACTGAATAAACAGGGCAATCCGAACATGCATGGAGGCTGGCTGGAAGCTTAGTTGATGGGCTTAGCTCCTGCATCGGTTAGCTCTTGCTGTTTGCCTCTTATGAATCACAATAAAGGCAACATGGAACCGTACCGTAGTATCAGTGTAGCACACTCAGAAGTAGCTGAGTGCTGCTGCTGGTAGGAAACTAAACAGATCTTCTGTTGCACTTCAAGCAGACCGTGTTATACCCGTAATCCCCTGGATAATGGACCCGCCGGTGAGAAAGTGCATGGGTCCTTTACCCGGGGGTGGGATCATTTATTTTAAAAGAAACAAGCATACAGCAATATATAGAAAGCAGGAAAGTAAAGCAGTTGTAGAATACAGTTTAAGGAGCGGTTTCTCGAGTCGCACAGCGACTCGATTGCCAGTTCTGTTACCATCCTTGCAGTTGTAACGGTCAGTCGCAACCTCCGGTTGCGACTTTTCGTGTCCATTCGTGTTCTTTGTCCTCCCCTTCGTGTTACCTCCGTTGACTCGTGTACCCGTTATGACCAGGGTTCCTGCTAAGTTTTAGGACTGTCTGAGAATCAGACAGGGTTTCAAAATTTCGTCTGACCGTCAGATGAGCTACCTTGGCTGGTCTGGATTTTCAGACGAATAGTCCAGCATCATCTGATCTTCTAGACGAAAAAAAATACTTCACAATAATCTACAGTACAGAACTGGGGTGATGACGCGCCATGTGGCAATTTTTTTCTTGCGTGGCAGGTTTGAGGCCCGATGACAAAGGTGGCCGATGTTAACGTAGAAACGAATGATTACTAGAGGTGGAAACCTAGAACAAATACTAGTTGGTTGTACTCACTAGAAGCATACCTCAGTCTAGCCTATAACTTCTACATAGATAATATGTATAAGTTGACACACCCCCTAGGCTAGACAAGGGGTGAAACTAAACAAGAAGCAAACAGCTCAGGGCGGCACTACTAGTCCAACCACTGAGGCAGGGGTCTGGAGACCAGTCAGCAAGAATACAACCAAAACTGAAGCAAGCCAGGGTGGCACTACTAGTCCAGCCACTGGAGGTAAGGCCACAAGGCCAGTCTGACAAGCATATATAATAGAGAGTACACAATCAGGATCCTAACAGGGGAGCAGCTATAGGAACAAGACCAAGCTGTACACAGTGCCGCTGATGATCTTTAGGCGCAAGCGCCTTAGTAAAGATATCAGCTGTGTTGGCACCTGAGGCCAAGTGAACTACGCGGGCCTGGCGGCGCTGCTGTAGCTCGCGCAGGAGGAAGTACCGCAGCTGGATATGCTTCGCTCTGCCCTCAAGCCGAGGCTCCTGACACAGGAGTATCATGGCCCTGTTGTCAGCGTACAGGACCGGGGCAGAGCTAGGCCGCTCACCTAAGTCTGTGAGCAAGAAGGTCAGCCAGCGGAGCTCCTGTGCCGCCATGGCACCAGCGTAGATCTCAGCCTCACAGCTAGACTGAGCCACAGACGACGAGCGAGTGGATCTCCAAGAGATAGCACCCGAACCAAGGCTGAAACAGTAGCCCTGCGACGACCTGAGCGTCTCAGCATCGTCTGCCCAAGAAGCGTCTGTGTGCCCAGTAAGGACCACTGGCCTGCGTCCTCCTAGCACTAACCCCATGCCTGATGTACTAGCAAGATAACGCAAAACCCTCTTAGCGGCAGACCAGTGCTGAGGTCGGTGTCTGTCTGTAGCCACAAAGCGAGCCAGGATGCTGAGAGGGTATGCGAGATCTGGGCGAGTGCAAGTCATCAGGTACATGAGGCAACCCACCAGCTCTGCGTAGGGGCCACTGGGCTCTACTGGCTCCTCAGGAACGGGAGCAGAGAGCCCATGGTCTACGGGTAGAGGTGTGGGCTGTGCGGAGGAGAACTGAAGACCGAACCTCTGAAGGACCTGACGCACCAAGTGTGACTGGGTCAGAGTGATGGTGCGTGCTGCTCTGTCCCTAGAGATCTGCAGGCCAAGATAGCGACGCAGCTCTCCAAGGTCAGTGCAGGTGTGTCTCTTCAGTAGCTCAGCCTTCACAGAGGCCAGTGCGTCCCTGTCAGGAGTAGCGAAGACCAGGTCGTCTACGTAGACAAGGATGTAGAACGGAGTCTGGCCGGAACGCACAAACAGTGAAGGGTCAGCAGAGGACGGAAAGAACTGCAGGTCTGCTAACGTGGCACGTAGCGTGTCGTGCCACTCGCGGGGAGCCTGACGCAGGCCGTAGACCGGGCGCCTGAGAAGCCACTGGGTCCCAGGAGGGAAGGTACCAGTGAAGCCCTGTGGTCGGCGCAGGTAGACCTGCTCGTGTAGGCTGCCCTGAAGAAAGGCAGTAGAGAAGTCGAGGGAGTGAAGCTCATAGTCACGCTGTGCTGCTACGTGTAGCAGCGCCCGAAGAGTGGTCATCTTCGGGGTCGGGGCGAAGGTCTGGAAGAAGTCAACCCCCTCGCGCTGACTGAAACCTCTGGCCACCTAGCGCGCCTTGAAGACAGGCGGCTCTCCAGGGGGGCGCTTCACCTTGAAGAGCCACCGACCATCGACTACGTTCACCCCAGGCGGGGGAACTGCGTCGACGTAAGTGCCGGTGGATCTCCAAGATGCCATCTCCTGCTCCATGGCAGCTATCCACTGAGAGGCCCAAGGTCCCGAGGTGGCCTCAGCGTAGGTGCGAGGGGTCGGGATGTCGAAGGCGTCTGGGTCACCCTCAGGGACTAACAGCATGGAGCAGAGATGGGGAGCAGCCTCGGAAAGGAAAGCCAGCTCGTACTGCCTGTCCTCTAGGACGTCACTGCCAAGGGCAGGAGCACCCCCGACGGACAGAGGACGGGCAGGGTCAGAGACCAGAGCGGTAGCGTAGTCAAGGCGGCGGGTAGAAGCGAAGTCAGCGACAGCAGCGACAAGCGCGTCAAGGCGCGAGACAGGAACAGCAGGGTCGGTAACAAGAGAGGCAAGGACCCGAGGGACAAGGGGACGAGCAGCACGGAGGTAGTCAGAGAACGGAGGAGGTGCAACAGCAAGGGACGAGGGAGGAGGGGACGGGAGGAGGGGAGGACGAGACGAGTGGGAACGGAGCAACATAGGGTGGGTGAGCAGGACAGGAGAGACGGGACGAGCACGGGAGGGACGGCGAGCCCAAACGTGAGACGGAGGGGTAGGGTCAGGGGACAGCGGAGGAGACACAGGAGGGGAACGAGGAGGAAGACGGGCCGGAGACGAGTCTGGCGGCGGGAACACAGGACCGTAGACAGGGAGGTCAGGAGGCGGTGGGGGAGACACCGGCGCGCGGTCCGGGGAGGGAAGGCCGAGCAGGCGGAGAGCGGAAACCGGCGGCGACGGCTGCTGCGGCGGCGACGACGGCTGGGCCGGAACTCTCGGACCAGCAGAGGCAGAACGACCGTCGGCAGAACACTCAACAGCAGCACCCCCAGAACCAACACCCCCAGAGCGAGAACCCCCTCCAACACCAGCGGCACCCCCAGAAGCCGCAGGACGAACACCCTCCTCCACACCAGCACCCCCAGGGGCCGAGAGCAGCGGCGGCAGTGGCGGCAACGGCTGCGGCGGCGGCGACAGCGGCGACGGCTGCGGCAGCGACAGCGGCGGCGGCGGCGACGAAAGCGGCGACGGCTGCGGCGGCGACGGCGACGGCGGCGGCAGCGGGGTCGGCGACTGCGACAGTGGGGGCGGAGGCACCGGGGAAGGGGGACGCGGCAAGGACGGACCGGGGGTACCACCAGAGTCAGCAGACTCCTCAACGGGGACAACCGACGGGAGGGGAGTGACGTGGGAGACACCAGACGGGGCAGGACGAGGCGGGAGAGGGGCAGGGGCTACCGGGGGAGAGGGAGCAAGGAAAAGGGGGGGGGCAACTGGGAGACCTCGGTGAGGGAAGCGGCGGTAGAAGGAGACGGACTCATCAAAGGTGACGTCACGAGAGTGGAGGAAGCGGTGAGACGGCGGGTGGTAGAAAAGCCAGTCAGACGAGTCCAGGGGGAAACCGAGGAAGACACAGGGGACAGTGCGGGCAGTGAGCTTGTCCGTGCCAGAGGCACGAACGTGAGCAAGGCAGCCCCAGACGTGGAACGCAGACGCGTCACCGGGGGACCCGGTCCAAAGGAGGGTCGGCGAAACCTGCGGCCGCTGGGAGCGTGGCCACAGGTTAAGCTGGTGAGCCGCGTAGCGAACAGCGAACGGCCACAGAAAATGGGGGGCATCGGCATGGATCATGGAGGTACGGGCGACCTCCATGACCAAGCCGATGCGGCGCTCAGCAACCCCATTGTGCTGTGGAGACGCGCAACACGGGGAGACCGCTGTGGAGACGCGCAACCACAACCCACGGGAGAAGAACGTCGGGCACGTCGGCCTTCCGCTCCAGGGGAAACACCGTGGTGTAGCGCGTGTAGTCGTCGACAAGCACAAGGAAGTAGCGCTCACCGCGCGGTCCGGGGACGGGGGCAGGGCCCCAAACGTCCAAGTGCAGGGTCTGAAGGGGGGCAGTAGCAGGACGCAGCGAGGAGGAGTGAGGAGCACGGCGGAGCCGACCCTCGACGCAAGGCGTGCACGGTGGCGCAGTCGAGGGAGGAAGGGCAGGGAGCGACGCGGGGAGACCTAAGACAAGACCGTGCTGGGACATGTGACGCAGACGCGGGAGAGCAGGGTGACCTAAGCGGTGGTGCCAGAGAAGGGAGGGGTGAGTGAGGGACCGACACGAGCAAGCTGCAGCGACCTGGGAGGACGCACCAACCGGGGGGGAAGCGGTGTGTAGGGTAAACAGACCGGACACCGGGTCCCGGGGGAACGTCGCAAGGGGGGAACCTGAGACAGCCTCAGAACAGACAGCGAACCGCTCGTGCCCGGGGAACGTGGTGGTGACGCCGAGGTCCTGGAGACAGCCGACACCAACCAGGTTCCTGGAGAACGAGGGAACGTGGAGGCCAGTAAGGGAGCCCGAGGGAACTGCCGGACAGGGAAGGGACGTAGAACTGCGCGCGACGACCGGACCCGCAGAGGGGTCAGCGAGAGAGACAACAGCAGGTGCAGCAAGCGGCGTGAGCGTGGAACGGTCGCGGAAGAAGCAGGCAGAAGCACCAGAGTCGAGAGTGAAGGACAGCGACGCAGTGGCGGGGGCCGGGGACGGAGCCGGTGCAGCGACTAGACTAGGCAACCTAGGCAGTCCTACGCCTGTCGCAG